TGTGTGTGTGTGTGTGTGTGTGTGTGTGTGTGTGTGTGTGTGTGTGTGTGTGTGTGTTGCACCTTTAAATGCAGATAGGTCCTCTGGAAGAGCAAGCAAGCAAGTGCTCCTAACCATTGAGCCATCTCTCCAGCCCTTGGTTTTTGTCCTTTCTTTTGGGGTAGGGGGTTGAGATATGATTTCTCAGTGTTGTCTGAGCTGTCCTGGAACTCACTCTGTAGACCAGGCTGGCCTAGAACTCAGAGATCTACCTGCTTTGGAGTGCTGGGATTAAAGGATTATACCACCATCTTTTTTGGCTTTATTTTGCATGTTTGTCTTTCATGTAGTAGATATTGAACCCAGGACTTTGAACATTCTGAGCAAGGACCTACCAATGAACTTTATCTCTGCCTCAATAACCAGTTCTGCTATCAGTGTTTAAAAAACAAAAACAAAAAAAAAAAAAAACTGTAGCAGCTTAGCAGTTGAGAGTATTGACTACTCTTCCAGAGGACCCAGGTTCAATTCTCATTGCCCACGTGGTGGCTCACAATTGTCTAATTCATAAATGTGATACATGGGAATATATGCAGGTAAAACATCAATACACATAAAATAAATAAAATTTAAAAATGAAAAAATCATAAAACAAGGGAGGAAAGTCATAGTCTTTTTGTAGTCTTATAATACAAGAATGAGTATTTCCAGCCCTTTGATCAGTTTCTAAAAACTTACTGTTCATAAAGACAAGCATGGAGCATCGTTCTTTAACTAAATACAGAACCGGTAAAGACTGTCAATATAGAGGCTGTGTTTACAGCTTGTTCACAAACACATTTAGAAGCCGCAAACCAGGAGGTGCCGCCGGTTCCTGCTGGAAATGCGCTTTGGAACCACTAGCACTGACAGCGCTCTGCCAAAGGCATATCACTCTTCTTTCCCTCACTTTCAAACACAGCAACTCTTCCTCTTCTGTTCTTTCCCCCATTTATTATAGTTCAGAAATTTAAAATAAGATATGAGTAACATCCTTTATGTCTGGTCTTTTCAGTTTAATTCCCCCCACACACACACCTTCCAAGTATTTTGTTTGGGGTGGGGGGGATAAAACAGAGTTCTAAGAAAAGCTTTTATAACAGGTTCAAAAGTAGAAAAGCCATTTCAAGCTTCAGACATTTGTAGCCTTTATTTCCTTCGTCCCTGAAAGGGCTTTTTAAATGTTAACAGCCCGATAAGGCTGCTCTCCTACACTGACATTCCCAGCTTTATTTCCTTTGTAGTCTTGAGTTCTTTCCTACCCTCAACCCCCAATAACCTCTATGCCAGCCTTTAAAACAAAACAAAATAACAATTTAACAGCTACGACAACAACAACAAAGGATTTCACTCACCATTATAAACACGCAGAGACAATTTCTAAGAGCCCATATGTGTGTTTCCTATAAATCATAAAACTAAGATATTCTAATTCTTTTTTTTTTTTTTTTTTTTTTTTTTTTTTTTTTTTTTTTTTTTTTTTTTTTTTTGGTTTTTTCGAGACAGGGTTTCTCTGTGTAGCTTTGCGCCTTTCCTGGGACTCACTTGGTAGTCCAGGCTGGCCTCGAACTCACAGAGATCCACCTGGCTCTGCCTCCCGAGTGCTGGGATTAAAGGCGTGCGCCACCACCGCCCGGCAAGATATTCTAATTCTATACTTGGGGATTTAGTATGTCAGTTTTACATGCTTCTTTTCGAACTGGAAAGTTATTACAGCCTAATGTTGTTGGCCTTTTCTCCTCAGAAATGCTGAAATACAATCATTATCATTAAAAAAAATCATCAAAAACATGCTCATCTCTATACTCTTAAACTTCAGAAAGTGGGGGTCAATGAATATGTGATATGTCAGCCTAGTTTACGAGAGAATTACTTATGAGTAAAATATCAAATCTGAAAGATTGAGATTATAAGTGCATTTATTGACTTATTATTTTGAGACACAGCCTTGCTAGAGAGCCCAGGCTGGCCTCCAACTCATTATCCTCCTGCCTCAGCCTACTCAGCCACCACACCTGGATCATGTCTTTTATTTTTATTTTTTTAAATATTTTAACTCATTTTCAAAGCACATTTATTATTTGCAACAAGGGAAATAGTACTTTTTAAAGTACTTGTTCACCTACATATACAACATAAACACATACACAGTACTGTACTGTTTTATTATTTTTCAAGGCATCATGACTTAAGAGGTCTTGAGAA